CGATCTTAGCGAAGAGCTAAACGATCCGGCAGAAATCCGGATAAGAATCAAGGAGCAGACGCTAAATGGCAAGGTGCACATTACTGAATTGTAGAACTCGAGAAGTTAGGATTAATAAAGGAATATGTATGTGCACCATATGTCCTCCATAGGTCGGAGTAGAAATCGCTGCAAAAACTGTACAATTAAAGAAATCCCGCAGAATTTCAATTGAACTAAGGCCGGAGAATTTACATCGGTATTCTTTACCCAAAAAAAGTAGTCAATTTCCACTAATAATATTTGTTAAGGTGGTGGAATGAAAATGCTGTAGAGGGCGTAACAGTAGAAGCCATCCTTAATGGCGAGAATATTGCTGTGCATCCGCAGAACATGAGACGATCAACTGAGGTTAGTCTCACGAGTTTCTGCCAACTTTTGGGAATAACAAAAAAATTTTTAGAACATGTTCCTCAGCCTTCACCTTCGTCCCATATTCCCTACAAGGTCACGACGGCAAGTTTTACCGGTCTGTACTAGGTCTATGAACGAAACTGGATGTTGTCTCTACGACCTTCTCGTAAGTATTTGGGCTATTTTGTGCAGAAATCAAACAAACTTCACACCTTACGGACAACCAAAACTTATTGGAGAACTACTTAGAAGGGAAACACAGTAGATGTGAATTCGTAACTCAACCTTCTTCTACTACAACACACCCCATTTGGCTCCATAATTTGCAAAGTTCGCTCTGCTTATGCTCGTCATCTACTGCTCGAATTGGACATTGATCAACTTCTGATTTTTCATGGGCAGCAGTGTAGACTATTATTATTTACAGCTTGAATGAGCAGCCGGAAAACACTCGTTGCAGTTGTTCCATTATGACGCAGGTACCGGACAACATTGTAAACACATATGCGAGTGGAATGTCGCAAAATTTTGCTCATACCCTTCGCATTTCAAGTGAAGCACTTCTATAAACAACAATGAAATCAAGATTACGGAGAAATTGACAATTGCCCAATAAATAGTTACCAGTAAATGTTCTTCTTATAGATTGATTTCGTGGATTTTGGTTGGAACTTCATAATTGCACCTCTAAGATACAACGCATATATCTGTCGGGGAGATTGTACGCGGAAAGAGGTTTGCTGAATTTCAGAACTTTTGCCTTTCCATAGGAAAGAGCTGTTATATGAAAAAAGATTTAAAAAATTGTCTAAACGTAGAGAAATAAAGCGCTGATTTCTTCTAGCCAGTGGTTACGACGCACTCTCGTCTCACCGACAATGATTGCTGCCATCCAACGGAGTGAGCGAACCTGCTAAAATTTATAATGGCTAAGATTTGCTTTTAGTTACGAACCTCTGACAATCGTCTACCTCAACCAAGAGAATCAAATGACTGTGGTCAAAATGGACGGAATGGTCGCTAGAAAGTGCTCCTGTTAGAAGCTTTGCGAAGAAGGATAGGATATATGTATATCTGTATCTCAAGACCTCTACTTCATGTTCTTAAAATGTTGACCATTTAATATTAGAAAACTAAGAACTAAATTTTTCAATCCCCTCACACATAAAATAT